TACAAACATTCACATAAAATTGCTGGTCTCTGATTTTCGAAGGCATGAGTTTACAATATACAGAAAGATGAAAGCCCAAACTGAATGGCTTTTTGAAAGCGAACCTGATACCAAGAGCAGAAGCAGTTCGTCAGTTCTAGTCTTGTAAAGACTACTTGCCAACTTTGTTAAGAACATATACTAGTTCTTGAAAGGCAGTGAACAAACAACCAAGAAGTAGCGACAGTGCCCCCAACCCTCCCCCACCGGAAAGAGGACAGTCGCACTACGCAGGAAAAAAAACTTTTTGTTGTGATATTTGCCACATATCAGGAAATCGAGAATTATTTTTTACCTGCGTCAAAGTCCTTGAAGTGATGGTTATGGTGGTAGACCTTTCTATAGTGCATATTCGTTAAGGGGCGAGGGCTTCCATGATGGAGATAGTAATGGATCATATCGTAGCCGATGTAACCGAACAACTTGCCACTGCCGAACGCACAGAAAATGTGCCTGAATACCAAACACTATTGAGAAATGAATGAAAAATGACAACCAGGAGAAAAAAATTTACCATGGAAGGATGCTCGAGTAGATCACATAGAACATTGCAACTAAAATGGAGGCAGGCACTGGAGGGAATACCAAGCGATCTCCATCCATGGGAGTCTTATGATGTAGACCTGAATAATAAAATAATTATCACTATCATTATCTAACATATTCAAACCCTCCATCACCTTGAGAACAGAACAGAAATAGAATTACCATGGAGAAGAAAATGGAGAATTATCTGCGGAGGCGATTTTGGATCGGGTTTCCAATGGAAAACCCATCGATGGAGAGAATATTCAACGAGTGTCCAAACAATAACTCCTGCCACAAAACAATTGGCCCACATGAGCGCACCTTTATACAGCCCTGAAAAAACCCAGGTATTATAATGCTAAATTTGTTAATATTCGCTGCTCAGGGAATGGATTCTGCGTATTTGGGAAAACAACAGATCTTAGAGGAAAAAGGAACAGATTTTTTCAGATGTCAGATGTTACAGTAAACGAATTAAAATTTTACGGACCGCTAGATTCTTTCTTCCTTCACTCGGAAAAGCGCGGAAATGAAGCTGGAGTGGTGAGGTTTGACAAGACAGTCGCAATGTACCGCGCTGATAGGCGTGGTGAGCGCCGCGCCCGACAGACGAGTTGTCTTGCTCTCCCATTCAAATACAGCCCGCGATAAAAGTGTCATGGATAGTTGATGTTCAATTATGAAACAGTAGCTGATAAGTAATTCCCCAGAAAGAAAAAAAAGCAAGAAGAGTCCTCAAGAACACCATAAACAAAATCGCGCCCTGACAGTCACACCTCCTGCGGTCTCTGTGCAAGCCCTGGCTCACAAATCACTTTGTCACATCTCCCAGTAGTGGATATCATCGAATGCGAAGAAAAGAAAACAAAAAACAACAGAAACAGAGGAAAAACTCTTGAAAAAAAGAAACATTCAAAAAGCCGGCGTCCAAATTTAGGGTTACGATAGCGTGCATCTTTTAGTGTGTTTAGTGCGTCGAGCTTTTGCACCACGACTTCAAATTTTTACGCACGTTTTACCTTGCGAGATGTGTTGGAGTTGACTGTATGTGCTCCTGATTAATAAAATGTAATAAAGGAGAGCAGAATCATTCATGGGCATGAGCGCTGTCAGCGAAAAGGACATGCAATTCCGATTAATGCCCGCCGCCCCAACAAAGAACTGAGCTGCCCTCCGTCGGAGGGCATCTAGCAAGTGGGCGGTCCAACTGAGCGGGCGTTAGAACTAGAACTTTCAGCGGCTAGCTCGCTCCTCGCTCGCTGTGGAGTCGCGAGAGTGGGATAGTCTCTAGCTTGGGGGCTGTACTACTTGCACAAGGAAGGACGACCATGTACTACTCGAGCGCGGGCTGTCTTTAAATTGTGGGGTTAAAGGGAAGAAGAAATTCATTATCGGCCATCATGAAGCCTGCACGCCGACGAGGCCATAAGTTACGATTGTCTTGCCCGTCTCTGTGGAGGCTGTGATATACAGGGGGGGGGGGCAAAAAAAAGTCACTTTTCTTCATTGACTTTCGAGGCGCTATAAGTTACACTTTATTAAATTCTGATCGGACATTTTTACCACCATATTAAAGAGCATATTAAATACTATCATGACACTCCGCCACAGCCTTCTGGACGAGCGCCATCGAGAGATTCTGGCACGCGACCGCGATGTGGTGCCTGAGATCAGCGAGATAGTCGATTTCTCCGCCACCGTAGACCACCCTATTGAACTCCGCCCGAACCGGGTAATTGAGGGGATTCAGGTCAGGTGACCTACTTGGATATTCCATCTTCTTTAGGTACTCAGCCCCCTTCCATTCCAGGTAGACGAGAGCTTCTCCAACGCCCTTTGATTCCACGTGGTGGCGCCCAATGTTGTAG